TGTTGTGTGTTAGTGTACTACAGTGTTGTGTGTTAGTGTACCACAGTGTTGTGTGTTAGTGTGCTACAGTGCTGTGTGTTACTGTACCACAGTGTTGTGTGTTAGTGTACTACAGTGTTGTGTGTTAGTGTACCACAGTGTTGTGTGTTAGTGTACTACAGTGCTGTGTGTTAGTGTACTGTAGTGTTGTGTGTTAGTGTACTGCAGTGTTGTGTGTTAGTGTACTACAGTGTTGTGTGATAGTTGACCACAGTGTTGTGTGTTAGTGTACAACAGTGCTGTGTTTTACTGTACCACAGTGTTGTGTGTTACTGTACTACAGAGCTCTGTGTTACTGTACCAAAGTGTTGTGTGTTGCTGTACCACAGTGTTGTGTGTTACTGTACTACAGTGTTGTGTGTTACTGTACTACAGTGTTGTGTGTTAGTGTACTGCAGTGTTGTGTGTTAGTGTACCACAGTGTTGTGTGTTACTGTACCACAGTGTTGTGTGTTACTGTACTACAGTGTTGTGTGTTACTGTACTACAGTGTTGTGTGTTAGTGTACTACAGTGCTGTGTGTTAGTGTACCACAGTGCTGTGTGTTAGTGTACCACAGTGCTGTGTGTTAGTGTACCACAGTGTTGTGTGTTACTGTACTACAGTGCTGTGTGTTAGTGTACTACAGTGCTGTGTGTTAGTGTACCACAGTGCTGTGTGTTAGTGTACCACAGTGCTGTGTGTTAGTGTACAACAGTGCTGTGTGTTACTGTACTACAGTGTTGTGTGTTACTGTACCACAGTGTTGTGTGTCAGTGTACTACAGTGCTGTGTGTTACTGTACCACAGTGTTGTGTGTTAGTGCACCACAGTTTTGCCTGTTAGTGTACTACAGTGTTGTGTGTTAGTGTACCACAGTATTATGTGTTAGTGAACTACAGTGTTGTGTGTTAGTGTACTACAGTGTTGTCTGTTAGTGTACTACAGTGTTGTGTGTTAGTGTACTTCAGTGTTGCGTGTTAGTGTACCACAATGTTGTGTGTTAGTGTACCACAGTGTTGTGTGTTAGTGTACTACAGTGTTGTCTGTTAGTGTACTACAGTGTTGTGTGTTAGTGTACTTCAGTGTTGCGTGTTAGTGTACCACAGTGTTGTGTGTTAGTGTACCACAGTGTTGTGTGTTAGTGTACCACAGTGTTGTGTGTTAGTGTATTAGTGTACCACAGTGTTGTGAGTTAGTCGCACACAGTGTTGAGTGTTAGTGTGCCACAGTGTTGTGTGCTGGTGTACTACAGTGTTTGCGTGTTAGTGTACTACATGTTGTGTATACTACAGTGTTGTGTGTTAGTGTACCACAGTGTTGTGTGTTAGTGTACCACAGTGTTGTGTGTTAGTGTACTACAGTGTTGTGTGTTAGTGTACTACAGTGTTGTGTGTTAGTGTACTACAGTGTTGTGCGTTAGTGTACTACAGTGTTGTGTGTTAGTGGACTACAGTGTTGTGTGTTAGTGTACCACAGTGTTGTGTGTTAGTGTACCACAGTGTTGTGTGTTAGAGTACTACAGTGTTGCGTGTTAGTGTACTACAGTGTTGTGTGTTAGTGTACTACAGTGTTGTGTGTCAGTGTACTACAGTGTTGTGTGTTAGTGTACCACAGTGTTGTGTATTAGTGTACCAGTGTTGTGTGTTAGTGTATTACAGTGCTGTGTGTTAGTGTACCACAGTGTTGTGTATTAGTGTACTACAGTGTTGTGTATTAGTGTACTACAGTGTTGTGTGTTAGTGTACACAGTGTTGTGTGTGTTAGTGTACACAGTGTTGTGTGTTAGTCACTACAGTTTTGTGTGTTAGTGTACACAGTGTTGTGTGTTAGTGTACCCACAGTGTGTTGTGTGTTAGTGTACTACAGTGTTGTGTGTTAGTACTTGCACAGTGTTGTGTGTTACTGTACTGAGTGTTGTGTGTTAGTGTACTACAGTGTTGTGTGTTGAGTGTACTACAGTGTTGTGTGTTGAGTGTACTACAGTGTTGTGTGTTAGTGTACCACAGTGTTGTGTGTTAGTGTACCACAGTGTTGTGTGTTAGTGTACTACAGTGTTGTGTGTTAGTGTACTACAGTGTTGTGTGTTACTGTACTACAGTGTTGTGTGTTACTGTACTACAGTGCTGTGTGTCAGTGTACTGCAGTGTTGTGTGATAGTGTACCACAGTGTTGTGTGTTAGTGTACAACAGTGCTGTGTGTTACTGCACCACAGTGTTGTGTGTTACTGTACTACAGTGTTGTGTGTTAGTGTACTACAGTGTATGTGCTAGTGTACTACAGTGATGTGTGTTAGTGTACCACAGTATTATGTGTTAGTCAACTACAGTGTTCTGTGTTAGTGTACCTGTGTATGTGTTAGTGTACTACAGTGTTGTGTATTAGTGTACTACAGTGTTGTGTGTTAGTGTACTACAGTGTTGTGTGTTAGTGTACTACAGTGTTGTGTGTTAGTGTACCACAGTGTTGTGTGTTAGTGTACCACAGTGTTGTGTGTTAGTGTACTACAGTGTTGTGTGTTAGTGTACTACAGTGTTGTGTGTTAGTGTACTACAGTGTTGTGTGTTTGTGTACCACAGTGTTGTGTGTTAGTGTACTACAGTGTTGTGTGTTAGTGTACCACAGTGTTGTGTGTTAGTGTACTACAGTGTTGTGTGTTAGTGTACTACAGTGTTGTGTGTTAGTGTACTACAGTGTTGTGTGTTAGTGTACTACAGTGTTGTGTGTTAGTGTACTACAGTGTTGTGTGTTATGTACCACAGTGTTGTGTATTAGTGTACTACAGTGTTGTGTATTAGTGTACCACAGTGTTGTGTGTTAGTGTACTACAGTGTTGTGTATTAGTGTACCACAGTGTTGTGTATTAGTGTACTACAGTGTTGTGTATTAGTGTACTACAGTGTTGTGTATTAGTGTACTACAGTGTTGTGTGTTAGTGTACTACAGTGTTGTGTGTTAGTGCACCACAGTGTTGTGTGTTAGTGCACTACAGTGTTGTGTGTTAGTGTACTACAGTGTTGTGTGTTAGTGTACTACAGTGTTGTGTGTTGGTGTACTACAGTGTTGTGTGTTAGTGTACTACAGTGTTGTGTGTTAGTGTACCACAGTGTTGTGTGTTAGTGTACCACAGTGTTGTGTGTTAGTGTACTACAGTGTTGTGTGTTAGTGTACTACAGTGTTGTGTGTTACTGTACTGCAGTGTTGTGTGTTAGTGTACTACAGTGTTGTGTGTTAGTGTACTACAGTGTTGTGTGTTAGTGTACCACAGTGTTGTGTGTTAGTGTACCACAGTGTTGTGTGTTAGTGTACAACAGTGCTGTGTGTTACTGCACCACAGTGTTGTGTGTTACTGTACTACAGTGATGTGTGTTAGTGTACTGCAGTGTTGTGTGTTAGTGTACCACAGTATTATGTGTTAGTCAACTACAGTGTTCTGTGTTAGTGTACCACAGTGTTGTGTGTTAGTGTACTACAGTGTTGTGTTAGTGTACCACAGTGTTGTGTGTTAGTGTACCACAGTGTTGTGTGTTAGTATACCACAGTGTTGTGTGTTAGTATACTACAGTGTTGTGTGCCAGTGTACCACAGTGTTGTGCGCTAGTGTACCACAGTGCTGTTTGTTAGTGTACCACAGTGTTGTGTGTTAGTGTACTACAGTGTTGTGTGTTGCTGTACCACATTCTTGTGTATTAGTGTACCACAGTGTTGTGAGTTAGTGTACCACAGTGTTGAGTGTTAGTGTGCCACAGTGTTATGTGCTGGTGTACTACAGTGTTGCGTGTTAGTGTACTACAGTGTTGTGTGTACTACAGTGTTGTGTGTTAGTGTACCACAGTGTTGTGTGTTAGTGTACTTCAGTGGTGTGTGTTAGTGTACTACAGTGCTGTGTGTTAGTGTACCACAGTGTTGAGTGTTACTGTACTACAGTGTTGTGTGTTAGTGTGCCACAGTGTTATGTGCTGGTGTACTACAGTGTTGTGTGTTACTGTACCACAGTGTTGTGTGTTAGTGTACCACAGTGTTGTGTTTTACTGTACCACAGTGTTGTGTGTTAGTGTACTACAGTGTTGTGTGTTAGTGTACTACAGTGTTGTGTGATAGTGTACCACAGTGTTGTGTGTTAGTGTACTACAGTGTTGTGTGTTAGTGTACTACAGTGTTGTGTGTTAGTGTACTACAGTGTTGTGTGTTAGTGTACTACAGTGTTGTGTGTTAGTGTACTACAGTGTTGTGTGTTAGTGTACTACAGTGTTGTGTGTTAGTGTACTACAGTGTTGTGTGTTAGTGTGACTACAGTGTTGTGTGTTAGTGTACCACAGTGTTGTGTGTTGGTACTACAGTGTTGTGTGTTACTGTGTGTGTGTTACCACAGTGTTGTGTGTTACTGTACCACAGTGTTGTGTGTTGGTACTACAGTGTTGTGTGTTGAGTGTTGTGTGTTACTACGGTGTTGTGTGTTAGTGTGCTGCAGTGTTGTGTGTTAGTGTACTACAGTGTTGTGTGTACTACAGTGTTGTGTGTTAGTGTACTACAGTGCTGTGTGTTAGTGTACTACAGTGTTGTATGTTAGTGTACCACAGTGTTGTGTGTTAGTGTACTACAGTGTTGTGCGTTAGTGTACTACAGTGTTGTGTGTTAGTGTACTACAGTGTTGTATGTTAGTGTACTACAGTGTTGTGTGTTAGTGTACTACAGTGCTGTGTGTTAGTGTACTACAGTGTTGTGTGTTAGTGTACCACAGTGTTGTGTGTTAGTGTACTACAGTGTTGTGTGTTAGTGTACTACAGTGTTGTATGTTAGTGTACTTCAGTGATGCGTGTTAGTGTACCACAGTGTTGTGTGACATTAATACACATTTTTCAACCTTCGAGACACAATCTCCATGAATCTCATTTACTTGATTGTGTTCAGTTTTGTGTAATGTTAAGTTATATAGCCTATTGTTTCCTAAAATGGATTGAATAAATACGTGAATTTACTGTCAATGAACAAAGGTTTATTTCTTAAATATATTATGTTCTGGTCCGAAGGGGAAGCCAGTGATGTCATCTACGGTACCGTCATCGTTAATGACAAGTATGTCATGTTCCCTGTAGCCGCCGGCGCCTGGCTCGCCCTCGGGGATGGTCACCATGGGCTCCATAGACACAACCATGCCAGGCTCCAGTACTGTGTCTATATCCTCACGTAGCTCCAGATCTGTCAACATATAACTATTGTTATTTCCCGCCACCAAATGTTAGCCGAGTGAAGAAACTCGTACTAAATTGAAGTGTTCCTTCCATTACTCAGTCAAATAACATCTGACTCGTTTCTTATTTGGTGACCATCAACAGGAGGATCATGATAGGCTTATACCCAATATCATCACCTCAAACTAAACATGTTCATAATTTATTATCTGCATTTCAGTGAATTTTGACACGAAATACAGTACACCTGTTGTCCGCCACACATAGTCTATAGGCACATAAGGTGTACCTCCTCTCGTCTGTCACGTACAGGATACTTACACTTGAAACTAACCAAGGCCGTTTTGGCTGCCCACATACAATAAACCTCCTCTTGTCCACCACACACTCAACAAGGTCACATTCAATAGTACTCAACAGGGTCACAATCAATAGTACTCAACAGGGTCACACTCAATAGAATTAAACAAGCTTACAATGGACTCCCTCAACTGTGTTCAACAGGACATACAGAACACTACTCAGCAGGGCACATTCAAAGGTACTCAACCAGACATACTCAAAAGTAAAGTACTCGACAAGATTCACTCAATAGTACTCAACAGAACACTCAATAATGCTCAACTGGACACACCACAATACTGAACACGACGCTCAACAGTACTGAACAGGACACACTCAATAGTACTCAACAGGGTACACACAACAGTACTCAACAGGGTACACACAATAGTACTCAACAGGACACACACAACAGTACTCAACAGTGCACACACAACAGTACTCAACAGGGCACACACAACAGTACTCAACAGGGCACACACAACAGTACTCAACAGGGCACACACAACAGTACTCAACAGGGCACACACAACAGTACTCAACAGGGCACACACAACAATGCTTAACAAGGTACACACAACTGTACTCAACAGGGCACACACAACTGTACTCAACAGGGCACACACAACTGTACTCAACAGGGCACACACAACAGTACTCAACAGGGCAAACACAACAGTACTCAACAGGGTACACACAACTGTACTCAACAGGGCACACACAACAGTACTCAACAGGGCACACACAACAGTAGTCAATGGGACACACTCAACAGTAGTCAATGGGACACACTCAACAGTAGTCAATGGGACACACTCAATAGTACTCAACAGTACTTGGTAATACTCAACAGGACATACTCAATAGTACTCAACAGTACTTGGTAATACTCAACAAGATGCAGTTAACAGTACTCAACAGGACATACTCAATAGCATTTAATAGGACTCACTTAACAGTAATGTTGAAAATTGGGATATAGATCAATAATCTCTAAGGACTGTCAAATCAGTTTAAAATCAATTGTAGGAAAATTGCTGTGAACAATAATTTCAAACACAATTCGAAATCACTTGAAGAAACACAAGTTGATCAATGATTCCCATCATGGCTTCACAAGTGGGCGTTCATGTCTGACAATCTATTATCATTCTTTTCAAATATTTTCGAATCAGTGTATGCTGGACACGATTATGCTGTACTTTACCTCGACTTTAGCAAAGCCTTTGACAGGGTCCCCCACGAAAGATAATATGTGAAGTGGAGGCACATGGCTTTGATAGATATTCTAAATTGGATTAGGGCGTGGTTAAAGGACAGGAAACATAGTAAGTAAGCTTTAATGGCACCAAATCCAATTGGGTAACATAAATGACATCGTACTGTATAGACGAAGACAGCACCATAAGTAAATTTGCTGATGACACAAAAATAGAGCGGGTAATTAAATTTGACGAGGACTCGGTAAAACTACAGGAAGATCTGAAAAAATATTTTGCATGATCTGAAAAATGGCAGATGAAATTTAATGTGGAAAAGTGTAAAGTACTTAACCTAGGAGATGAAGAACGGTGACAGAGAAATCCGACTCTGATATATATATCTAGGGTAATGATGAGTAGGAATCTTAAACCAAGATGCGTAATTTATCGAAACAAGGCTAATAAAGTACTTGGGTTCAAATAAAAAAGCTTTAGTTACAAGACTAACGAGGTCATCCTAAGACTATATCTTGCGCTTGTGAGACCCAGTATGGGCCAATAGGACCGCTGCAGTTTCCTCCATTCTTATGTTCTTATCTATTCCACAGAACACACTCAGTACTACTCGACAGTTCTGAACAGGACACACTCAATAGGACTTCACAAAGTTAACAGGACACACTTAACAGTACTCAACAGGACACAACCAACAGTACTCAAAAGGGTACACACAACAGTACTCAACAGGACTCGTTCATCAGTATTTAACAAGACACACAACAGTACTCAACAGGACACAACCAACAGTACTCAAAAGGGTACACACAACAGTACTCCACAGGACTCGTTCATCAGTATTTAACAAGACACACAACAGTACTCAACAGGACACAACCAACAGTACTCAAAAGGGTACACACAACAGTACTCAACAGGACACACTTAACAGTACTCAACACGGCAGACTCAACAGGACAACCAACAGTATAGAGAATGTGTTCTAAGAATATTGTCCGATAAAAACTAATTAACAATTTAACTAAGGAGATGTTCAGCAGCAAAAGTTTGCTTGTTCTTCTGTCGGTGATAAATTGAGCTGGAAATAATATACTATAATGTTTAAACATGGTAACTTATGCAGGGCCTTCTAACATATAAACTGAATGTGAGTGTGGGAAACTGCTGCTCTTGTGAGGCAGAAGTTGAATTTACGTGTTGTTAAAATGTACTAGAAAGATGTTGCGAGAGCTAATCAAGGTGTTGGTGAACATGTAGCGTATGGTTTATCAAACATTAATATTAATACATTAGTTTGTGTTCATTATCTTGAATACATAGAAATGAAGGTCAACTTGTATTGTGCACATTGTAAGGTATCTTAAAAAATCTGACACAGAAGCTATATCTACGATCATCAAATAAAGAGTTGTTAGAACATGACTCACCAGCCTCACGCCCGTAGTAGTGGCTGAGGATACCGAAGGAATGACCGTAGCCAAACATGCGGTACTTCAGAAGGCCGAACTGGGAAAACATTTCGTTTAGTTCTTGGGCAATCTCGGAACACTTGGCACCCGGCCGGATGAGTTCAATCCCCCGCTTGTGGACGGCCACGTTGGCTTCCCACACCTTGAGATGGGCATCGCTGCAGTGGTCTAAGAACCAAGTCCTCTCTAGTGCCGTGTAGTACCTGCAATACTCAACTGTTCTTTTACCATGTAATGACGGGACCCCCAGGCAGGGACCCGCTCACTCCAGTACTGTTAAAGTCCGGGAAGGTTGACCGAAAGTTAGGTGAGATAGTAGAAAGAAGACAATAACAGTAGAAAGTAGAATGTAATTATACGATGTAATAGTATAAAGTGGACAAACTCCAGTAGACAGTAATAGTAGATGGTAGCCAAACTCCACTGAACAGTAATAGTAGATAGAAGACCAACCCCAGTAGACAGTAACAGTAGATAGTAAAAAAAGTCCAGTAGACAGCAATAGTAGATAGTAGACAAAGTCCAGCAGACAGTAATAGTAGATAGTACACAAAAGTAATACACAGGAATTAAAGGTATTAGACACTGATGACAGATTGTAAACAGTAGGAAGAAGTTGGCAGGCAGTATATTGTTGAAAGTAATCATGAATAGTAAAGAAACAATAAGTAGCAGGTAATAGGCATTTGTTAATGCTGTCGCCATATGAGTAAAGCCAAACAAATACAAAAATCAAATATGAGTTTCAACCAAAACTCATCTATACTTGTACAACTCTACATTACAAAATCACGTGTGATCAGTAGATTACCTGAGTGAGCAAATTACACTGTCGTATTTCTTATGTTAATACTGATCTAATAAGCTATTATAAGGGAATAAGAAATTATCAAATAATTAACTTAAAGATTGTTGGAGATATTTTGCTATACTGTAGTGGGTGTGAGTGTACAACAGTCACCAGGTGGTGGGTTGATCATATCTAGAGCGTAAGAGGAGATTCACTTGAGGAAGCAGTGATGCTGACTCTCACCGGGTAACACACTCTCAGTAGAATTAAGTGGAAAGTCAAAGACGCCTTTCTGAGTGACAGTTGCCAGGTGACACATTCAGGAAGGGTACATAGCTAGAGAGAGGAATCAGTAATTATTCTGGATAAATAAAGCTACAAGGAAGTTGAAAAACAAAGTAATAAAGGAGTGCCATTTGTATTTGGGGAGGTAGACGGTAACCAACTAACACTGTCGATGTGGTACAGAGCCAAAAAAGGAGGACAGCGTGTTTTATGTGCACAAGGAAAGAGAACGGCTGATTGATAGCATTAAAGGAAACCACTATAATAAGTAGACTGGAGGCAAACAAATAGGAGGTTTTGAACAAGGAAAAACGAACTGCAGAATTGAGAGCATTGTAATTTTGCAAGAGGTATCAACTGATAGTGACAGATACATGATTCAAACAACAGAGAAAGAGATACAGATACTGGGTAATACAAAAGGGTATCAACTTGGTTACATACTGTACTAGTTTGAAACAGATGCAGGAAGCGCGTCAAGAAATCTTGCAGTTGGGAAGTGGACCGAGGCTACCCAAACCCACGTGCTGATAAAATTACAATAAAAACTGAAGATGGGACTGAATTTT